CCAAATCTCTCAGAGAAAAAGATGCCTTCGATGCCAGAAGAGCCGCTTCTAACTCCGACGCCTGACAGATTCTGTATGTTCCCGATTCACTACCCACAGATCTGGGAGATGTACAAGAAAGCCGAAGCATCCTTCTGGACCGCCGAAGAAGTAGATCTATCCCAAGACGGACGTGACTGGGAGAATCTCAACGACGGCGAACGCCACTTCATCAAACACGTCCTCGCTTTCTTCGCCGCATCAGACGGAATCGTCCTCGAGAATCTCGCTTCTCGATTCATGTCCGATGTACAAGTCTCTGAGGCGCGTGCTTTCTACGGATTCCAGATCGCGATTGAGAATATCCATTCTGAGATGTACAGTCTCCTCCTCGATACGTACATCAAAGACAACAAAGAGAGAGACCATCTCTTTCGCGCAATCGAAACGATCCCTTGCGTAGCGAAGAAAGCACAGTGGGCGATGACGTGGATCGACGGATCTCAGACTTTCGCCGAACGAATCGTCGCTTTCGCTTGCGTCGAAGGTATCTTCTTCTCCGGTAGCTTCTGTTCGATTTTCTGGCTCAAAAAACGAGGACTCATGCCTGGATTAACCTTCTCGAACGAATTGATCTCGAGAGACGAAGGCTTACACTGCGATTTCGCTTGCCTGATCTACACGCTCTTGAGAACGAAGCTCACGGAGGAGCGAGTGAAGTCGATTGTCTGCGATGCGGTGGAGATCGAGAGGGAGTTTGTGTGCGACGCGCTTCCGTGCGCGTTGGTTGGGATGAATCGTGAATTGATGAGTCAATACATTGAGTTTGTTGCGGATAGGCTTTTGGGTGCGCTTGGGTACGGTAAGGTCTACGGTGTGACTAATCCGTTTGATTGGATGGAGTTAATCTCGCTTCAAGGGAAAACTAACTTCTTCGAGAAGAGAGTCGGTGATTACCAGAAAGCTTCCGTTATGTCTTCCGTTAATGGAAACGGCGCGTTTGATAATCACGTCTTTTCGCTTGACGAGGATTTCTAG